AGTTAAAGGGGCTGGGAAGTTGAGCTGGAGTAGAAAATCCTTTGTGATTTGGTACCTCCCTCTGTAAGGAGAGTTGGACTCCAGCAGGAACAGGGGGATGAGGAGAGTGAAGTTGGTAAGGAAGTGCCCATGGGGGAGAGGGGTCCCTCCTCTAGCCCCTATTAGCTTCTCTGCTGTGACTATATCAGCAGTAGCTACCCTAACTGCAAGGGAACAAGGACTCTCGAGGCTGTGGACTAAGGAGAAAGTCAGCCAGCTTGATGGTCAGAGCCAGGGTAGAGGTGATGCCCCTCCTCCCACAGCCTCTCTCTGTCCTCAGGACAGAGCCCACCCCTACCCACACAGCTCTTGAGAGACTTGTGGAAAGGAGGGTATAGGCTGTCATTCTGGGTATTACAGGTGTCCTCTGATTCCACAGCAGAGGGAGACCTGAGTATCTGGAGGCAAGGCAGACTGATATTTTATTTATTATTATTATTATTATTTTTTCATACTGACATTTTAACATTTTCTTCCATGCCCCATGTTCCATGTCAGCTCAGAAATGGGTGGAAGCCCCTGAGCGGGTGGTACATAGGGCCTGTCCCTTCTGACAGCCACCTGTGGGCCGTGTTTATTCCTGATCTGGGCCCAAGTATACTGAAGTAAGAGTTCGGTTCTTTACTTAGAGCCAATAGTTTGACTGGGGAAACCTGAGGGCGTGACTGTTTAATCATTTTCTTTTTCTTATGCCCAGAATACTTACTGGCCAGTCAGCTATAGGCTGACAGACATACTCATGTGTTTCCAGAGGCCCAGGCATGTTGAGGAAGGAGGTGGGTTGGTCTGTACATGTTAAACACTTTCTTAGGAGGTGCTGAATTGGACTTAGGGCCAGAAGCACAGCCATAGAGTGTGGAAAGCTTTAATTTTCCTTTCTGAGCCCAGTTGGAAACTTTAGCAGGGCTCCCAGGGGCCCCTATTCTAGGAGTTAACCTGAACCCTGCCCCACTGTCAGCAGGCTGGGTGAGGACCACCTTCCTGTGTTCCTTTTGCAAGTTCTTCAGTGTGTGAGGGTTAGGCTGGGTGCCATTGACGCAGCCTGGTTCTCAGGTCAGCACAGCTTGAAACATATTGGCTCAGTGGATCCACCTGGCCCAGCTGCTCACAGTTCTTCAAAACTGGGGAAAGCTGCCCAGCCAGTGTGGCTCAGTGGTTGAACGTCACTCATGCACCAGGAGGTCGTTAGTTGATTCCTTGTCAGGGCACATGCACAGGTTGTGGACCAAATCCCCAGTGAGGGGCATGTGGAAGGCGGCCAATCAGTGTTATCTTTCATCGATATTTCTGTCTCTCCCTCTCCCTTCCTTTCTCTCTAAAAATCAATAAAGAAAAAAAATTATTTTATTTTATTATTTATTTATTTATTATTATTATTTTTTTTATCCTCACCCGAGGATATTTTTCCATTTTTTGTACAGATAGAGTGGGAGGGAGAGAGAGGAAGGGAGAGAGAGTGAGAACCAACCAGGGCCAGGGACAAACTGCAACCGGGGTACGCGCCCTTAGCGGGAACCGAACCCGGGTCTCTCCGGACCGCAGGCCGACGCTCTAACTGCTGAGCCAAACTGGCCAGGGCTATTTTTTTTTTATCCTCACCTGAGGACATTTTTCCATCTTTTGTTCAGGTAGAGTGGGAGGGAGAGAGAGGAACAGAGAGAGAGAGAGAGAAACATCGACGTGAAAGGAACACATTGAGTGGCTGCCACCCACACAACTGACCAGGGCCGAGGACAAACTGCAACCGAGGCACGCGCCCTTAGCAGGAACCGAACCCGGGTCTCTCAGGACCACAGGCCAACAACGCTCTAACTGCTGGACCAAACTGGCCAGGGCAAATTTTTTTTTTTTATAATGGGGAAAGCTGGGTCCTGCCAGAGAGGGCTGGGCTGGCCCTCAGACAAATGAGTCCATTGGCATTCTGCACACAGCCTCATGTAAACAAGTAATTGGAGAGGCGAATGTTTGGGGGAGTAGGAGGGGCTGATCAATCTGACTCACTTTGGCACTAACAGGCTGGCCACTCGACAAGCAGCAGGGGTCCATGTCTGGTGTGTGTCTGTGCCACTCTGAAGATTGATGTGCTTAAGCACACAGGGTGGGTCTGGTGAGATGCCTAAGATTGCATTGGAACTGCAGGGGGCCTTGGTTTGACTGGGTGTGGCTATAACGTGAAGAAGCCTCCAATCCATCCATGTTCTTCAAGTCCTTGGCTTGTGAGTCCAGCTTTCAACTATTTTTTTTTTATCTTTGCATTCATCTTCAGATAGAGTGGGAAGGAGAGAGGGGGAAGAGAGAAGAGAAACATCAATGTAAGAGAGACACATTGAGTGGTTGCCACACACACAACCCCAACCGGGGCCAGGGACAAATTGCAACCGAGGTATGTGCCCTTAGTGAGAACCGAACCCAGGACTCTCCAGGGCTGACGCTCTAACTGCTGAGCCAAACTGGCCAGGGCCATCTTTCAATTATTTATTCTCTCATCTGCAGAGGAGTTGCCCCTCTTCTGTCTTTGCTGGAAAAAATGTCAGGGCAGCACTGGTATTGCCATGACCCAACTTATTCAACTCTAGATTTGCTGTGTCCATCAGTGGACCCATCGTGCCTTCTTTCCATTTCTTAAATGAATGACAGGGGCTGCAGTGAGTATCTGTGGTTTGGATCGGCTGGCCCTTCACATTGGCTCCTTGTGGTCAGGTGGCAGCAACAAGCCATGGAGCTTTCTTGAAGTATGAGCGAAAAGTTACTGTGGCAACAACTGTGCAGTCCAGTTACCCTGCATGTTGGACTTGGTATTGGAGGCCTGTAGGAAAATGTGGACCAGGCTGCCTGTGTGGGAGGGCCATTGTTTCCTGCACTCCTTCACTACTCTCAGACAGCAAAGTATTTATGGGCCTCCCTGGGCTGCATGTTCCTGAGGCCCTGACTACTCACCCTCCTTCTGAGGGCCAGTATCTATCTCTCCAGGAAACTCCTGAGGAGGGCCTTGTTAGGTGGCTATTTATAAATATGGTCTCTCTCTTACTTTCTTCCAGTTCAGCTCAGTAGAAATTGAGATTTTCCTTCCAAATGGCAAATAAGGATAGCAATTGCAAGTAGCCCTGCCCCTTCTTCAGGACTCTGGATTAGTGTTCTCCCTGCTGCATCCTGTATAGTAGTGGGGAAGGGCATGGGGGAGGAGTTAGAATTCAAGGGAACCCAACTGGGGACAGCAATAGTAACTGTTTAATTGTGTCTGCTGAATGGGCATGCAGCTGCCCTAAATGTGGGCTCTCAGATTTTCCTGTGCCCCTTAGAGAGTGTGTTCAGGGGTTCTCCAAGGTGAAGGGCACTGTGCGGTGGAACAGGCAGATCTCACCTGGCAGGAAGGAGGGTGATGGTCATCTGCCACAGGCTCAGCAAAGGTTCTAGGCCTTTGGGAAGCATCAGAGCCCATGCCAGACTGTCCCCGGAGATGCTGGGACTTGGAGTAGTGCTGTGTCTATCCTCCTCCAGCAGAGGGGCTTAAGAGTCCAAGGTGTCTGGGCCCTATCTGATGGAGCCTCATGGCCTAGAAGCAGCTCCAGGAGAGGACACCCATCAGGTGCCATTCATGGGTTGTTTACTCACTGACCCTGTATCTACTGAGTACCTCCTATATGACCAGTACCAGGCACTGGGGCTCATCCAGCTCAGCCTGGTCTAATGGGAACAATAAATTTTAAATCGCTGGAATAATTGCTTAACATTGAGGACTAAAGAGCTCCCTCTGAGCAAGTGCCCTTACCCTGAAAACAAGGATTCAGCCAGGTGAAGACAAGTTGTACAAGCTGAGCCCCTTAGATGGACAGCTATCTGGTGTGTGGCTGAGATTCGACAGCCAAGGGTCCATGTGGCAGAGCAGACTTTATGCTGTTCCTTCCTGGAAACAGAATGTACTAAAATGAGGATGGTGCAGACCACTGCCAGGAGCCCCTGTGTGGTGTAGAGAGGTCATGTAGACTGTAGAGTGCCCCTGAGAAGCATCTGGTTCCTGCCTGGCCCACAGGAACCCCCTCTCCTCTCAGCAGATGGAGACGTCTAGTTGCCTTGGATTGTTTCCTTTTTTCCCCATGGCTGAGGGGCTGATGCTGGTGCAGGGCCTGTTGTGGTTGCCCACCACCACTTTGTCATTTGGAGGGAGGGTGGACCCTGTCTTTAAGGACTAGGAAGTTCACCTTTAAGTGGTCTGGTATGGGCATCTAGGGATTAGAGCTTAAGTGTGGCTTTTGGAGCTTGTTGAGGCCTCCTGGGAACAGAACTTCTAAAATGACAAATATGTGTGGAAGGCTGTGGTCCAGGGCCATTTTTGCTGGCTATAAGCAGGGTTTTCGGAACAAGAGGGAACACGCAGCTCTTTATACTTGAGATAAAACTAAATTCTATTTAGGCAAGAGATATGCTTGTGTATACAAGGCAAAGAACAACACATTGACTCTTGGTGGCAAACTAAACAAAACCAGAGTAATCTGGGGAAAGGTAACTCATGCTCATGGAAATAGTGGCATGGCTAATGCAAAATTCCAAAGCAACCTTCCTACTAAGGGCGTTGGACACAGAATCTGTGTAATGCTGTACCCCTCAAGAATTTAAACTTATTGAAAACTAAATAAAGTCTGGCTTAGGATATGGAGGAAGGTTTGAGTCATTCTCTTTAAATCCCCCTAAGTTATAGTGGTCCTGGTAGGGTCTTGACAGGGGCCACCTCCCTGAGCCAGGCTTTGAGTTCAGGGAACCTTAGAATGCTCCTTGGGGAGAGTTTTAGTTCCTTCTTCTTGGGGAAGGGAGGCCCAGAATGTTCTACATGGGAGGAGCCAGGCAGTTCTTCTAGGGGGAGAGTGCATACACTGGACAGATCTGAGTGCTGTGGTGGTGGCATTGTTGGCATAGGGAAGGCAGTGTTGAGTGCTCTCGTTCTAATGCTTGTCCTTGACCTCTAGCCCTGGCCCAGCGTATCCAACCTGGCCAAGGACTTCATTGACCGCCTGCTGACAGTGGACCCTGGCGCCCGTATGACTGCGCTGCAGGCCCTGAGGCACCCGTGGGTGGTGAGCATGGCAGCCTCTTCATCCATGAAGAATCTGCACCGCTCCATTTCCCAGAACCTCCTCAAACGTGCTTCCTCGCGCTGCCAGAGCACCAAATCTGCCCAGTCTACACGCTCCAGCCGCTCTACACGCTCCAACAAGTCACGCCGTGTGAGGGAGCGGGAGCTGCGGGAGCTCAACCTGCGCTACCAGCAGCAGTACAATGGCTGAGCTGCCTGGCAGTGGTAGAGATATGGCATGGTTCCAGCCTGGTCACACACTGCTCTGCCATCTGGGCCCAATGCCCTCTCTGGAGATAGGCCTGTATGGTCAGGAGTAGGTGAATTGCCCCAGCCTCTCCTCTGTGCCTTCAGCAGTCCCCATCCTCACCCTGGGCCTACTGTGACAGAATGGAGGGAGCCCCCTGAACTGGGAGCCTGGCCTGGCACTGATGTTCCTTTTGGTGGGTAATTGATTGATACAGTTGGGGAAAAGGTAGGACCTGGCCTTCAGTCTCTTTTCACCCCTTGTCCTTGGCTTTTTCCCAGACCAAAGGGTAGAGGGTATCCTGTGGTTCCAGGATTCTTTGGGACATTTAATTCTGGAATCCCCCTTTTCTCCACCAAACCTTTCTGCCTGGCCCCCAACATTCCATGGCATCCTGATCCTCATGATTATGCTCCAGTGAGAGACCCCGGTAGGCACAAAGCTTGTGCTTTGGCTGGATTTTCAGCCCCTGGCTAAGTCTAAACAGCCCCCACCTCTCAGCCAAGATCTGTTTTCCTTCATGGAGACTCCAAGGACTACTCGTGGCCCCAGGGCTTGCCAGGATCTCTGGTGGTAGGGCCACGGCATGAAGCTTGATCCTTCTGGACTGTGTGGCCCTGTTGGTAACGGGCTTGTTCCAGACTCCAACCTCTCTCTGACTGTGAGAGAGTTCTTGCCCCCCACCAGCCCACTGCTCTCAGTGCCTCCTTTGCAGTCTACCATCACCTTCCTCTCCTCTTTGGATGCCTATTCTATTCTCCAGGTGCCTCCTTCCCAACTGTGGGGCATTAAAGGGAGTCCCACTGCTGCTACCTGGGGGATGGAGGCACCTGGGCCAAGGCAGAGGGCAGGGACTTTCCAGGGAGAGCCTCATCAGGATTCTAGTGCCAGCCCTGGTTCTACCCTTGGTACTTCCCATTGCCCTTTCCCTTCAGGCTCTGCTGTTTCTCCTCTGCAGCTGCATGAAGGCACCATCTAGTGTCCAGCATGAGTATAGGCAGCCTAGAAATGACTAGAGCTCTCACCCTTCATCCTCCAAGAGGAAGTGGGAAGGAGCTGTTGCATCGAGGGAGAGTCTCTGGGCTGCTCTACTCTCTCCTTCTGCCGATCTTCTGCAGCCGTTCCCCCTGGAACTTAGCCAAACTGTGTGATCTGCCTCTGAACCCTGAGTGTCTGAACCCTTCTCACAGCTGGCCTTGCCCAGTTCAGTCTGTCCCCGCTTCCTTTCACAGCATTACCCTTCCAGTCTGGGCCCCACTGAATCTCAGGCTGGAGGGTGTCCCTACAGGAGGTGAGTGGAATTAGGTGGCTGCTTTCCCACAGGCCTGAGCCAGACCATCCTCGTGTCAGTCATGGTGCCTTCCCCCACCACAAACTGGATGGAACCCAAGTCCCTTCCCTCCACAGCTGCTTTCAGTAGGTGGGAAGGAGCCAGGGCCCAGCTTTAGCTTTAGCTAGACTGCAGGGCCCCTGCCAATAGGGAGGGTTTAGCCCTCACTCAGTTCCTCCCAGTGGTAACCTTGGGCTAGGCCGTCCTCTTTTTGCATATGGGAAACCAAGCCAAAGAGACCACTCTGGACCAAGTCAATTGTGCCTTATATACCCCCTCCTTCTGTCCCCAGTTTCCCTGGCACAAGGCAGTAGAGAGCCCAAGCTCCATGGCCTCAGAACTCCCCCAACTTTCCCAAGTGCCTCCGGGGGCCTGAAGCCCTGGGGAATTATTTCCTCTCTTGCCCAGGATAGGCCTGGTCCTGAAGGTAGGACAGAGGGAGTTTGGTGACTTGGGCCTTTGAAAGCCCACCTGGGCCTTCATGTCATGGTCCATGGGTGGAGAATGTGCAGTTATTTATTTTGTGTACTCAGTTTGTAAATGTATCCTCTGTACTCAATAAACAGGCTGCCCTCCTCAGGGAAGGCTGCCCATTCCAGGCTCCTTGTTGTGGACCAAGGGATCACCCATGAGGAGGAGGGTTGGGGGGCCTAGCCTGGGCATGGCTACTCTAGGGAGATCCTGACTCCTCAACACCTGCCATGGTATAAGACAAAGTGCATATGGGGATACACTCCTCTATGCCAGGAGGACAGATGAGATGACACAAGAGGACAGAATGGGGTGTTTATTGGATTAAGAGGGGAGGGGCCTGTGGGTAGGTTCAGCTGTGGGCTGTGACCTGGTTGATCCAAGTGCTGAACTTGCTCACCCGAGTGTACATGGCCGGTGCCCGCACATTGCAGTTGCTGGTGCCCCAGGAGACAATGCCTGTAAGCACCCATGTGTTCCCTTTCTGACAGACAAGAGGACCTCCAGAGTCACCCTGAAGGGAAGAAGGGAGAAGTCAGCATGGAGGGTGGAGGGGGTGCCAGAAGACAGTGCAGAGGAAGAGACAGGGTGCTGGTGCTCACCTGACATGAGGAGGCCCCTGAGCCACCTGCACAGATCATGGAGTCAGTGATACGTGAGCCCCAATACTGCTGGCACTGTCTCACAGTGACCAGAGGCAGGGCCACCTGCTGCAGGCGTGCTGGGGTCACATTGCCTGTGTGCCAGGAGGGGGTGGTTAGGCCCCAGATGATCTGTCCCCACCCTAGTTCTCCCACCCAGATCATTGGCCCAAGTTCCTACCTGTGCCACTGAGACGGCCCCAGCCAGTGGTGACACATGTGAGGCCTGTAGGCAATACCTCATTTGGGGAAGCCAGGCAAACTGGTGAGACACGTGGCGAGTACTTGGCTGGAGAGGCGAGTTTCAGTAGTGTCAGGTCATTGTTGAAGGTGGTGGGGTTCCAGTATGGATGTGTGATGGCCTGTGGAGCCAGGAAGGGCCATGTAGGATGGGGTAGGCCCCCACAGTTGATAGGTACTGAAGGGGCTAGGCCAGGGCATGCCCTGAATTCCTCATCCCTAGAGCCCACCCACCTGTATTACCCCCTCTTCCTTTCCATGTCTGCAGCCCAGGCACTCACCTGTGAGATGGACAGAACTTGCAAAGGCTCAGTGCTGGATGATCGGTCATATTCGCCCAGGATGACAAAGTGACGACCAGGGCTGCAGTAAGAGTGGGATTAGGCACCTGAGGGAGGGCAGAGCAACAAGAGGGGCATCTAGAGGAAGGAAGTGGGGAGAGGGGTTGGGGTAGGGCAAGTGGAGCGGAAGCACTCACATGACATTGCAGTGGGCAGCAGTGACCACCCAGGACTGGCTGATGAGTGAACCACCACAGAAGTGGAAGCCGCTCCTGTCCTGGGATCAGGGGTCAGAGGTGGGAGGGGAACTCAGGTTCGGCCTAGACATGAAGCACCTGGAACCCTGCCCCACCCCCAGGGTGCATGTACCTGTAGGGACACCTGCCAGGGCCAGGAGCCTGGCACTGCGTTCTCCCCGTTGACAATTCTCTGGCTGAAACTTATTGTCGGTTTGATGGCAGGAATGCCGCAGCCTGGCCATTAGATTGGTGAGGACCTGTTTTCCATACCCCAAACCACCTCAACCCCTTCCTCGTCCCAGATGCCCCCAGCTCTGTACCCCAGAGCAGTCCAAATTGAGAGGGCTCATCACTACCCCTTCTCAACCCTGAGCTCCTTCTTTCTTTTTTATCCTCACCCGAGGACATTTTTCCATTTTTTGTTCAGATAGAGTGGGAGGGAGAGAGAGAGAAACATCAACATGAAAGGGACACATTGAGTGGTTGCCACCCGCACGACCCAATCAGGGCGGGGGACAAACTGCAACCGAGGTATGTGCCCTTAGCAGGAACCGAACCCGGGTCTCTCCAGACTGCAGGCCGGTGCTCCAAGTGCTGAGCCAAACTGGCCAGGGCACCCTGAGCTCCTTCTGAGGCCCTGTACATTTTTAGTCATTTCCTACCCAGCCAGCCCCCAAATGCTGTCCACTCTCCCATCTCTCTTCAACCTATTCCCTGCTGTTACCCAACTCCATCCCTGCCCTCTAGCCCAGGCCACTTATCTTCCCGACCCCTGGGATAATCTTCTGGCCTCTCTATCCCATCTATGCCCCTTCATGCAGCCAGAGGGCTCTTCCTAAACTACATGTCCAACCTTCACTTCTCACCTTCCTAAACCTTCCCTGGCTTCTGGGCTTGGCTCAGGCTCCTGTCCACCTCTTGCTTCCTCGCAGCCTTGACACATCCTTTTTCCTTTACCTACTCTGTCCACCTGCTTCCCTTCCAGCCAGCCTGGCTCTCTCCCTGAGCCCCTGGACAGAAAGCCTTGAGCTGCTGCTGGAAGCAAGGGCTGCTCCAGGCCTACTCACCCCAGGAGGAGCCGAGCAGGATCAGGGTAAGGGTCAGGCTGAGCAGCATCATTGTGGCAGGTGTGAGGCTAAGAACTGGGCCTGGCTTTATGGGTCTCCCTGTCCTTGGGCTAAAGTCCCAGGCATGAGGCCAGGCCAGCTGTATGGGCACAGCCCTGTCCCACGCTCTGTTTGGAACAGGGTCTGTCTAGGCCAAGGTCCCTCAATCCAAGCCTGGACTTATCAGAGAGTCCAGGTGTGAGTTTCTCACTTCCTCCACCCCCTAAAACCTGGCCTCTGATTGACTACCTGAACCACTTCACATCCCAAATACTGAGCACTGGGTCCTAAGGACTTATGGTTAAATTCAGTCTATGGTGACCACTTGTTGGCCAGGATCAGGGAAGTCTCCCAGGCCTATCAGGAGCACCAGACTCAAAGAACCCTGCTCAGCACCAAGCGGTGTTCCTGACTGGTGGAGGAAGTCCAACTATATCATCTCTGCTGTGGAGGGCCAGGGTCCTGTGGCCAGGACAGGGGTTCTAGGAGGCTGTGAATCATAACAGGTATTTTAATGATTCCTCATTTTAGAACAGGAGTCCAATTTGCTCATACAGATGGTGACTCTCCCACAAGCACATGGTGTGGTTGGACCCAAACCTTCATCTGTCTGGCTTTGAAGACCACACTCTTTTTCTTTTTAATAAATGTGTTTTAAAATTTTTGTTTTCTTTATTGATTTTAAAGCGAGAGGGAGAGGGAGATAGAAACATCGATGAGAGAGGACATCGATTGGCCGCCTCCTGCATGTTCCCCCTGGGGATTTGGCCCACAACCTGGGCATGTGCCCTGATCAGGAATCGCACCAGTGACCTCTTGGTGCATGTGTCGATGCTCAAACACTGAGCCACAACAACCAGACTTGAAGACCACTCTTAATGATGAAATGATGCCTGGGAAGGGACTGATGCTCAGGAGGGCAAGGTGTGCATCCTTGGTGACTGCCCAACCCTGTATAGAGGATGCTGGCAAAAGTGTGACAGTTATTGAATCTCTGACAACCTCCATGCCTTGGGGATCGTGTGGGCAAACCCTTGGTGTCTACAGCCTGTTTGTTGTCCAGCTTGAATCAAGGGAGAGAAGAGGCCTCTGTGTGCAAAGTTGCAATGGGTAAGTTGGCTGGTCTCCTTCTAGGGCTGTGAGAGTTTCGACTAATTCAAGAACATGTCGCCCTGGCCGGTTTGGCTCAGCGGTTGGAGCGTCGGCCTGCAGTACAGAGAGACCCGGGTTCGGTTTCCGCTAAGGGCACGTACCTCGGTTGCAGTTTGTCTCCGGCCCTGGTTGGTCATGCGGGTGGCAGCCACTCGATGTGTCCCTTCACATTGATGCTTCTCTCTCTCTCTCTTCCTCTCTCTCCCTCCTGCTCTATCTGCACAAAAAATGGAAAAATGTCCTCGGGTGAGGATAAAAAAAAAAAAGAACGTCAGTTAAAAAAATGAGTTAATGGTTGAATAGAGGGATGAATAGATATGTGGTAAAGCAGATATAACAAAATACTAATTATAAAGTCTGTGGTTGCCCTGGCCAGTTTGGCTCAGCGGTTAGAGCGTCAGCCTGCCGTCTGGAGAGACCCGGGTTCGGTTCCCGCTAAGGGCACGTACTTCGGTTGCAGTTTGTCCCCGGCCCTGGTTGGTCGTGCGGGTGGGAGCCACTCGATGTGTCCCTTCACGTCGATGTTTCTCACTCTCTCTCCCTTCCTCTCTCTCCCTCCCATTCTATCTGTACAAAAAATGGAAAAATATCCTCGGGTGAGGATAAAAAAAAAAAAAAAAAAAAGTCTGTGGTAGGTATATAGGTGTTAGTGTACAATTATTCAACTTTTATGTTTTAAAATATTCATAATAAAATGGGGGGGGGGCAATATCAGGGGCCCAAAGATGTCCAGCCTAGAGTAGACTCTCCCCAGAGGTTGGGCAGTTGCAAAACTCCAGTGGAGCTCAGACATTCTGAGGGCAGGATGCTACTACCAGCACCTAGCACCTGGGCCTGGCACTCAGTGGGTGCTCAGCAAAGATTTGTTAGATAAATGTGTGTTGTGTTCTGTCCCCACAAGAGTACTGTAACCCGTCAGCCCAGAAAACTTGGGAGTCAATCTCTCTACTCACAACCCAGCTTCATGTTAGCACCTCAGGTGTGCCTGGTTATTGGAGAGGTTTCACAGCTAAAACAGGGGTGAGGAGTGCTCTGTAAGAACTTGCCCTTGGAATCAGGGAACAGCTCCTCTATTAGCACTTTAGCCCTCAGTGGCATCCAGTGGGGAAGGAAACTTGACTAAGAGATGTGGTCTTTGTCCTGGGCTACTGATGAGCCAGGCAAAGGCTCTAAGTGGGGGCAGTACCTGCGCCTTTTGGGTTTTATAACAGTCCTTAATAGACTAGAAGACAAAAACAAGGTGTACGAGTGGTAGGGGTCAGAAGGGGGCTTTCCACCTTGAGCCTTCAATGCTTGCCGAGGTTGTGATTCTAGAGGGAGTAGATGCCTATGGTGATGGGTGAAGGGCACCTCTTAGACCAGACACTGGAGCCATAGCAGGGAGTGGCCCTTACAGGGATACCTTAGCCACAGAGCCTTGCTAGCTGCTTGCACCCTCTACCCAAGAACAACATAGCCATTTGTTCTGGTGTTTGTATTTTCTGCATTTATTCCCCATTGTTCCAAGTTCTAAGCCTCAGCCTACTTCACTCCACCTCCATGGTCTGCACGGTTTCCTCTACCAGCTCCAGGGGCAGTGGCATAACTGTCTGGGACAGGACAGCTGTGGTCCCAGGAGCGAAGAGGTACTGGCCAGGCCTGTGATGGAGGAGAAATGGCCTCTCAATATGGGCCCATCATGTGACCTGTCTTTTAGCAGCTCCCAACTCTCCCTGCTACAGCCCATCCACCCCATGCTAACCCCCATCTCCATTGCTCCTACCTCTCTTTGGGCTTTGTGGGTGAGCTCAGTGTTCGCAGCATCTTGGCGCCGGTCCTCGTGATCACACATGCATCAACATTGCCCCCAGAGCCTAGGTCACCCAGGATTCCTGCAGTGATGGCTTCCACCAGCAGCTCCTGTGCGGCCTCCAACTGTGGCAGTGTGTGTGAGATCTGATGGGCCCTTCAGGTATCACCCTCAGGCTACAGTCTGAGAACTTTGTTCATCTTGAAACCCATTTGCTCACACCCAAACTTCTTTCTCCCCCTGTACCCCCATCTCCACCCAAACTCTCCTTCCCTGGTGTCTGCCTCCCTCTTTCCAGAGACCTCCCTGTTCTTCCCACTGCCCACTGCCCCCATCTTTACAAACTGCTCTGAGTCACTTTCACTTGTGATTCCAGTGGCCCATCCACCCAACCAATGTGGTCTGGGCCCCCAATCCACTGCTTTTCTCATTCTGGGTCTTAGGCGCCTCGGAAACAACAAAGGCCATCCACTTCCATCCCACCCCAAACAAAATCCAGACTCCAGACTCCACCTGTGGTTTCTTCCCTCAGCTCAAAACGGTCCTCTCTGAGCTTTGACACTGACAGTGGTCTGTTGGAAAATAGCACTCCTCTACACTCACTCCACTGGGCCCCTCAGTCACCACTCAGCTGTAGCCTCCTCTGAGAAGTCTTCCCCAATCTCCAGAGTAGGCCTGTGTCCCTCTGCACTCCCTCAGCTCCCGGGTGCACTTCCCACCGATGACCACATAGTGGAGGGTCAGGTGTTGCTCACCGTCATGTTCGGCTGGAACCGGTCCTCCAGCACTGCCAGGGCCGCATCCTGGCCGGAGCCTGCAGGCAGAAGGAGCATCTAAGGTAAGTTGAAGCCCACCAACGCAGGGCAAACATGAGACCAGGGTCGCAGAGGCGGGGTTCCTGGGGACCCGGCAGAAGTGCTCACCCAGGGCCGCAAAAGGCAGACGGCTGTAGGAGCCATGGGGGTGCACACTGTAGAGCTGAGGTCCTGTCACGTCTACGCCTCCCACGACCAGTGATGCACCAACGTGGCCCTGGTACCTTAGCACGGAGTGAGCGTGGTTATTCGCACACCCAGACTCAGACCCCACTCTCAATACCACTGCTTCTGGATTCGAGCCCCGCCCCTTCCTGTGGCCCGCGCCTCCGGACTTTGTTCCTTCCTCATTGTGCTGGCCTCTTCTCGTGTCCTGGGACCTCTCAGCTCCTCCCCCCCCCCCCCACCTCTCAGGCCCGCCCGCGCCACAAAGGCCCCTCCCCGATGTCGTCTAAACCCCGCTTTAGCACCGGAAGAGCGTCTGGCGCAGAACGCGGGTGACCGTGGCCACGCGGGGCTCGCGGCCCGTGGAAAGCGCGTGTAGCTCCATGTTGGACGCCGCCATACGCGTGGTCATCTCTGCGTCAGCGGCTACTCCAGCCCCACAGCAGCTGAGGATGAAGGGAGGGTTGGTGTAGGCGGGGCTAGGATGTACCAGAACGAGACAGGAAGGGGGGTTGGGAGAACGAAGCTGGGATTCTCACTAGATTTTGGGAGCGATGAAGTGGATCTTCTCGCAGTTCTTATCCGCCACGACCGAATCGTTAGTGGCCCGCGTATCCGCGCCCAGGATGACCCCGTCCTGGGGAGCGGGGAAAGGGGGTGCTGGCTCAGTGCCTGCCGGATCCCCGGCCGCCTCTCTAAGCTTCCCAGGTCCCAACCCCATGCTCACTCGGAACACAAGGCCCGCGATGGTGGTCCCGGTCTTGCGTGCATTAGGGACCCGGAGCCACGGGAGGGCACGTTCCAAGGATGCATTTCTGGAAACGGGAGGGAGTGGCCCGTGTTTCAGTTCTTCTGGGACCCCCATCACATCCCCCAACTCCTTCCGGGTTTCCTTCACCTCCCGGAGTAAGCCTAGGAACCCCAGTCGTCGCCCACCACATGCTATCCCGCCCCCCAACCCCGCCCTTCGCTACCAGGAATAAAGGCCCTTGAGGCTCCCACTCCCGGAAGACATTACAGGGGACTTAGGCAGTTTGGAACCAACTATCCCCCATCTCACCTCTGGCAGTTCTCGAAGGAGAAGCCCACTTGGGGCTCTAGCTCTGTTTGCAGCATCTTGGGAAGGTCAGGGAAGTCCAGGGATTAGGGGGTCAATGGTTAGACGAGTGGGACCAGCAAGGAGTGAGAAAAGCAAGCGGAAGCCTGTTCTCTGCAGGGCTCCAAGTCTGACGCTTCCCGCTTTCGCTTTCACCTTAACTCAGAGGACGCTGGCCTGTTTTGCATCTCCTGTTTCACTTTCAGCTCTGGTCCTAAGCATTTGGGAAGGGGGTGATGTACCTTGTTTGGCTCTCCAGGCTAGACAAATCCCTCCCTTCTGGCCATTGTGCAGCTCCTCCAACCCTCTTCCAATTTAAACCCTTAGTTCTGCCTCTGATCCAAACTCTAACCTCAAGTCTTAACACGCTGAAGCTGTTGGACCTTTTGCCAGGTTTCTGCATTATTGCAGGGCTCCCAACAGCATCAGGCATGGCCTTTTGTCCTTTGTCACCCTCCTTCACCCAACTCCTGCCTTGTCTTTTTCTTTTTTAAAAAAATATGTTTTTATTGATTTCTTTTTTAGAAGAAGGGAGAGAGATAAAAACATCAATGTGAGAAAGAAACATCAATCAACTGCCTCCTGCACGCCCCCCACCGGGGATTGAGCCTGCAATCCAGGCATGTACCCTGCCTGGGAATTGAACCAGGACCTCTCAGTCCATGGGACAATACTTAATTCACTGAGACACACTGGCCAGGCTCCTGCTTGTCTTTTGTTCCTTTGCTTCCTACCCGGAAACCTCAACATGGAGGCTCAATTCTTTATTTGGTGACAGTGAACTGCTGGTCCTTTCTTCTTTCCTATCTTTAGGCGCTGTCTTTCCTTTCTCTAGAGGGTCCTGGTGGCTGTCCGTATAGTAGTCTGGAGGCATAATGGGCTCTACCCATGGCCAAACCTTATTTTGCCTCCCAAATGACCCTTTATCTATCCCCATCTCTCACCTAACTACTGCCTTAGTCTCAGCTAGCATCCTCTCTCCTGGCTACTGCACTGGCCTCCCTGGCTTCCCCATACTTACTTTCTCCTACAGCTCTACCCTGCAGAGAGGACATCTGGTAGTCTTTCCCTGGTTAAACCCTTCAGCAGCTGCACACTACTCTTAGGCTCAAACCCAAGTCTTTACAATGGCCCATGTTACCTTTCTCATCTCTCTGATCTCAGCAGAGGCACCACCTCTTCTGGGAAGCCTTTCCTGACCTACAGTACTCAGCACCTTGTGCTCTCAAAACTTTTATTTCAGCCTGGCTGGTGTGCTCAGTGGTTGAGCACTGACCCATGCACCAAGAGGTCACTGGTTTGATTCCCAGTCAGGGCTAATGCCCAGGTTGCAAGCTTGATCCCCAGTAGGGAACGTGCAGGAGGCAGCCAATCTATGCTTCACTCATTGATGTTTTATCTATCTCTCCCTCTCCCTTCCTCTCTAAAAATCAATTGAAAATATATATTTAGCCCTGGCCGGTTTGGTTCAGTAGTTAAGAGAGTCAGCTCACAGACCAAAGAATTGTGGTTCAGTCCCCAGTCCTGGTTGGGGTCATGTGGGAGGCAACCAATCGATGTGTCTCTCTCACATCAATGTTTCTCTCTCTTCTTCCCTCTCACTCTATCTGAAGATAAGTAGAAAAATATCCTCTGATAAGGATTAAACAATATATCTATATTTAAACTTTTATTTTAGCCTACATATTTCCATTAATAATTAAACTTTCATTAGTGAATTTATCTGAATCCCCCAGATCCTAATCTTTTGTACTTCTGTCACCCACCTGTACTCCAAAGTCCCTGTCTAGAGGTGAGGTATCACCTGCCCTTTTGGAAGCCGGGACAAGTTTAAATCTTATCCATCCTAAACCCTTGGCTCCATGTGCCCCCATCCCACAGATATGTGTGCAATTGCCCCCAGTCTCCATGCCCAGAGAAGAGACAGACACAAAGACAGGCTGCTTTAACAGCTTAAGCAGGAGAGTAGGAAGCTGTACATCTCAGGGTAGCTAGTTCAATCTTAGGTTTTAGCAAAGCCCCTCTTGTCCTATTGTCCACAAAGCACCAGGCCTGTAGCTGCTGATTAATTAATCCTGGTGTGTGAACCCTAGGGCCTCCCAACACACATATCAAGGCTTACAGCAGCAAAGGATGATCTTTATTCAAGGGGTAGGGGGTAGGGGGCCTGGGCTGGCAGCTGTGGGTACAGAGGTGCTATGTCGGTAGGTACCCAGCAGGATGGCATTGATGTGTTCCAGTGTCTGATTGCTGAAGACCATGTTGAGGTGCTGTGTCCCATGCAGAGGCAGCAGGTGCACAGGCTGTGGCTGGAGGCCCTTCCAGTGGACACAGAGCTCACTGCTACGTGTCGCCACAGTGTCATCGCCATCCTCATAGAGCACACCCACAGGGTCTGTGTAGGGGAAGCCATAATCAAAGATGTAGGTGCGGGGCGTGGGCAGACCCACACCATATAGACAGTATACTTCTACACCAGGTGCTGGAAGTCCTGCCAGCAGGTCACGTGACTGTAGCCACATATACCAGCCTTCCTCAAAGTATAGGTCTGCAAAGAAGCGTTGGAAGTCACGGCCTGTGTAGTTGAAGTTGGGTGTGGAAATGAACACATGGTCCTCAGGCCACACCAGGTTAGAGGGAAACATCCAGGGGGATGTCGTCGTTATGCGCTGCTTCTGTTTCAGCCTGATGCTGGACATGATCGGGATGCCCTGGTTGTCACCTGTGGACATGGAACAAGGTAGGCAGGGAGCCAGGCCTGGCTGCCCCCAGCCCAAACTCAGCTGGATGCTCAGTTTTGTCCCACCTAATTCAAACATTGACTCTAAGCCAGACTAGAGCAGGCCTACAAACATTCAGTAGATATTTAATGTGTGCTTATTAAATGAGAAGCCCTGATACCTCTTTGAGGCAGAGCTGCAGGACTTCAAGTGAGGGCAGGAAGGGTTTTCCTGAGGATGGATGTATATGTGTGAAAAGTTGGGGGATGATGCTGGCAGTTCTCATAGGCAAGTGTCTGTTGGCCCTGTAGTCTATGCTGCACAGGGGTCAGAGCTGCGTTCTGGGAAGAGTGGAATGAGACTGTGTCTGTATTTGACATTAACTGATGTAGTCTGAGGAAGGTATCCCTCACCTGACCCTGAGCCCCTACAGGGAAGACTGAGTTTGGCTGGACCCAGCAGACATTGGGTGCTCAACAGGTAGTAGCTGTGCCACTCCTCTCAGGGAAGGGCAGAAGGGGCTCCTAGAGCCCAGCCCTGGCTTTGGCAAATCTATCTTCAGTAGGGCAGATCCCTGGGCAGAGGGGCTCCTGGAAGCAGAAGGCAGCTGAAAACTGGATAGGTAGGACCTGAGGCCACAGGAACAAAGTTGGGACAGTGAGTCAGATTGCTTGGGTTCATTTTCTGTTAAATTTTCCCTTTGTCATCACTAAGACAGATTCTGGCAGCAGCCACTTTAATGTTCCAAGCCAGGATCACTAGTCTTGGGGGGCCAATGAAAAGGGTCATGTCCCAGGGGTGGTAGACAACACACCCAGCCTGGCATTTTGAGCATAAGTGAGTCAGGGTAGGCCCACGGTCAGCTGCATTCCATTTCTCAATCCCCTCATAGGATGCTAGTGATCAGAGGCCCTCTCACCTGAGGCCAAGATCAACAATGGCTTGATGGAGCCACCCCAGGGAGCCCCAAGAGAAATGAAGCCATCAATGAAGCGATCCTTCCAAGACTGGGGCTGGCGCAGCAGGAAATAGAGCAGGTGCAGGCAGCCAAGGCTGTGCCCAATGAGGAAGACAGGCTTTCCGTAAGTAGCATGCATCTCTTCCACCAGCCCAGAGAGCTTCTGGTAGTACTCCTCCTGCTGGCCTGCGAGGACAGGGGGATGTGGCTGAGGTCAGGGCAGTGGGGCTTAGGGCCACCTGCCCTGCTATGAGCCCATCATCTGCAGAGACACTCACTGGGCTCCAGCCGCCAGTCATAGGGGGCGGCCCGCACAGTCTCATCCCGCACATACCCATTGTTGACCAGATTCTGCACCAGGGTGTTCATGTAACCTGTGGGAGAGGCAGCAGCATTGGGGCTCTGGACATGGATTCTGCAGGCCCACCACAGCCTGGAGCCCCACTCTTTCCCCCAATAAACACACCTGCCAGCTTGTTTTTGTCTAGATACTCAACAGAGAAGGTCTTGCCAAAGCCAGGGACACGTATCTGTACACCAGGGGCATTGGACACACGCCCAGAGCTGCGGTTGTAGACAACCCTGGGGGCAATGGGACATTCAGCAGGTCAGCAACCAAGGGACATGGTGAGGGAGCTGGGAAGAGGGGATGGCATGTACCTGGTATTATCGATCCAGCAGTCTACTCCAAGGGGTAGGAACATATTGAGATCCAGCCAGATAGTGAAGAAGTCCTCTGTTTTACGGTAGCACATCCAGTTCACCACATCTGGTTTATCCAGCTTGGCTTCCAGCTGATTCCCCAGGCAGCCAGGCACTGCGGGCACTAGCCTTCACTCTGGATTCCTTGGATTTCCCCCGTGATCCCCCTCCCAGCCTAACACCACCCACTACCACTGCAGTGACCAGCCTTCATCTCCCACACCCTCAACCCCCAGGGACTAATGACATAATCCTCTTTCTAATCACCCCCCCACTCATCCCCGCAGCAATGCAAAGCCCTGGCTCCCCTTAGGCAGGAAAAGTGCAGAGGCCAGGGCCACTGACCTCTGCCCTCACAAAGCAAACACCTAGCCTGGCTTTCAATTACTGCCAAAGTTCAAGGTGAGAACAAACAGATATGGGGAGGTGGAGGTTTGGCTTAGGAATAGGGGGCAGGCCATGATAGGCCTCTCTTGTTCTCCTGAACTGAGCATCTTGTCCTTGTTGGGGTGGGGGCTGAGGAAGGAGCAAGGGATTGGGAGGGGGGTAGCTTGGCCCAGGGTCCAGTGGTTGCAGCTGATCACAGCTTGTAATGCCCTGGCCAAGCCCTCAGGCAAACACACCCCCCACCCCTCCACCCACTTGGGGTAGATAACTTAGAGACACAGGAACAGTGTGGTTCAGGGGAAAGGGTTGACTTCTTTGCAGGATAAGCCTTTGTCCCCTCCAAACACTGAGAGAAGTATCAGGGTTAATGCAGGAGCAGAAGGGCCTTGGCAGGGTTGACTACCTGGGGCTGGGGTCCAGGCTCCTCAAGGTCTGGCCTGGTGCATTAGGGGCCTGGTGGGGGCTTACCGAGGATGACGGGCCGTGTGTGGTTACTGAGCTCAGCCTTGGGCGTGGTTTGCGGGGGGAACAGCACATTGAGGAGCCAGAAGGAGGCGGCAGGGGGTAACAGCAGCCCCAGCAGCAGCAGCACCCACTGCCATGGGGAGCCGGGCAGCCCCATTCCAGCCCTAGTGCCTATTGCCCAGTGACGCAGTCTTGGGCTGACCTTATCTGGAGTGGGGGTGGGAGGGGCCCTGAGGCCAGTGGGAGGGACAGTCTGACCAATGGTGATGGCCAGAGATTGAGGGAAAGGGACACAGCCTTGGAGCTGGAGTTGGCCCTGGGCTTGGGTTCAGTTCTGCCTTCTTCCCTTGGCGCCAGGGGAAACAGAGCTTGGGCAGCAGGAGGGCCAGAAGTACACAATGTTTTATTGAAAAGAGTCAAGCCTCAGCTAGCTGGCTCCATTAGGCTTGGCTTGGTGAGGGTCTCTGTCCACAGTAGTCTGAGCCAGGTCTTCCTGCAGGCCGGCTGGGTAGAACCCCCTCCCTTGTTTCCCTTCCCCTTATCTCTGATGGTGATATCCCAACAATAAATATTCAATAAATAGCATTCCTGGGCTGGCTGCCTTCAAATCCAATGTCAGCTCCCATAAGTCTTCTCCAGCCAGGGCAGGCCTCCTGGGGTGCTGAACCAGGAAAAGTCCCCAAACTTCTCAGGGTCCTACAGGATCCTGGATCCATTTCCACTGCCAGGCCCAGGCCCAATCTCCAAAGCTGGGTCTAGGGCAGGGCTAGGCAAAGCGGGACTGGCAGATGGGTGCTGGAGGGAATGTTACCCTGAACACCTCCACTCTAGGCCACAAGTCTGTATCTGGCTCAAGAGTAGATGGTGATGACTTCACGGCCACCGCCACGAACCAACAGTACCCGCTCGAGGCCCTCAGTCAGCACCTCCAGGAACTCCATGTCTATAGGTCATCAGGTCAAAGAAGCAGCACCAGGACTAAGGGGTACCCGGGGAATTTTGGTCATCAATCAGAGTAGGGGTAACCTGGCACCCTCCAGGGACACCCACAGTAACCTTACATGCTGTCCACCTCCCCCCTATACACTACCAGACTCTCCACAAAAGGATACAGTTCTCATCACCCTCACTGTTCTTAGGTGGGCCAGGCATGTTCAGTAGGACCAGGCGGGCATCGTGGGAGCGTGTGACAATGACTTCATTGAGCTTCACGGCAGTGTGCATGCGCCGCACATTGGATTGGTCCCTGTAGGTGACACAGCTCATCATGGACCCCACCCCTGACCCACACACAGAGCTTGTCCACCCTCCACTCCCAGGCCCCAAATGGTTGGGTCTGTTTTTGTGGCACTCACGGCTTAATATGCACCAGTTCTCGGAAGTTGTCAGGGGCGTGGCTGGGGTCCCAGGGCTCAGCTGCCATGTACTTGTCCCGTGTCCATGTCATCTGTATCTTGTCGGCCCCAGCAGTAGACTCATCCTCCTCATCTGAGTACAGGCTCTCCAGCCTTAGGGCTGAGTGCCGGTCCTTGACCAGCTGGGCCTGAAGAAAATCAAAGGAGGCAGCCTTAGTGCCATGGGAAAAGAGGACCTGGCTGGCCCAACATGACTACCTGGCCACAGGGACATGGGCACTGAAGCGGGTGGGGCTGGGTTGAGTCATTCTGACGCCCCCATTTGATGGTGTCTCCAAAGGCCTGACCCAGCCACCTGCCCGTGCCCTGAACCAAAGCCACCGACTTCTCGTTCTCGCTCAGTCTTGGTCAGCCTCATCTGCCTCAGCATCTGGGACCGCTGCTCCATCATCAGTGTCCGCTCATAGGTATATGCAGAGATGTCACTGTTGTGCTGGGGAGAAGGTGGGCCATAAGGACTGGGCTGTGTGAAGCAGGGTATCCACAGAGCCACACCAGGGTGGGTGGCTCACCATTTCCACTACCTCCACCTCTGCCTCAAGGCGTAGGTGGTAGAGGAAGACAGCCAGATCCTTCTTCATCTGGATACTATTGTCATCCATCTGGGCCACCGTGAAGATGCGCATCCGGCACTTTCTCCAAACCTATGGTAACAGAGCAGGTGGGTGTTCCAGTCACATACCACCTATCCAAGGGCCCAGCCCCTCTCACCTGGGCCCACCCCTCTGGCCCACCTTGTGCTGGCGCAGCAGGAAGGGTAAAAGCATCAGCATGCCGCCATCATGCACAATCCACCACACGTCAATATGACCCTCCAGGTAGCGCTCATGATTGCTGGGGTAGAAGGCAATGTTCTTGGGCACAAGAAGGGCCAGGTGGGCAGCCGTGGTGCAGCGCACGGTGTCTGGGGGGAGGGATACTACTGACTGCCAGCCTGCAGCCCTGCTCTCAATTGAGCCCCAGTCCCTGTCCCCCGTGGCTGAGCCCAGGCCATGGCCTCTCACGCACCAATAAAGGTCTTCCAGGCACGTGGGTCCTCACTCTGTCGCCAGCCATAGGGCCAGCCCAGCACCACGGAGTTATGTCTCATGCCGCCCAGGCCACAAGACTGGATGAGGTGGGCCAGCCCCTCACGCACCTTGTTGGCTACCACCACCTGGCAGAAGCCCTTTACTTTCTCAATCTCCATCATGTTCTTGATTGTCTGTGGGAAACACACCAGGCTCAGAAGCCAAGGCAATCAGCATCCCCTCTGATGGAGATGGGGAAGGGGAAGAGGCAAGCTGCCCACCCAGAGGCCATGTTTTCAAGATGGGACAGCCATACCCACCCTTGCTCCAGCTCTTAGGTGGCAGCACTGCTATCCACCTGCCTGGCCTGAACCATTCCCCTCCCCTATGTGCCAACTGCAGCACGGACACCTATAGTCTGGCTCAGCTTCCCACCCGCTGCAGCAGGCACCTGCTCAGCGGCCTGGGCCTCGCCATAGCTCTCCAAGAAGCTTCCCTGAATGACAGAACCAACGATGGTCAGGCCCTTGCCGGCCTTCAGCTGAGAGGCGAAGGTGAGGAGCCGTGGATACTTCACGTGAAGGTCCTCGTCTAGTTTCAGTAGCACTAGCAGCTGAGGCCTGCAGTGGCCAGATAGGGAGAAAACCTGAGATCAGGGCCAGAGGTTTCCAAGGAGTCCCTTTTCTTCTTCCCTTCTTAGCTCACAGGCTCCCACAGGTTTAGGGAGCAGAGATCCAAGGGCTCAACAAGCAGGACGGCACCCCTAGCAATCCCAGGATGAAGAACGTGGACCAGGAGGGGGAGCCAGCATCTCTTGACAGTCCCACCCTCACAGTGCCCCCTGAGAACCTAGAGTGGCCTTTGACAGTGTGGGCGTGGACTCACCGCCAGTTCTTGGTGTGAGGAGGCCCCTCCTCTAGCCGCAATAGTGCATAGCGGGCAGCACTCAGGGACAGGCCTCTGATCCCATCACCCCATTCCTTCTCAGCCCTACAGAAGCCACCATAAGCTGGTGAGTCCCTGGTCCCATCCAGAGGATTCTGTTCAGGTGTATGTGAGATGGAATGGGGCCAGGCACTGAGTCACAACCCCCCAGCCCCAGCACTTATGGTGGCTAGCAAAGGGTGGCTCAACTCCCCCCACCCCAATATACAGATCACCCCACTTGCCCCAACCAGGTGGCAACCCCTCACTCACCCTTGGTACTCAATGTACTTGTAGATCATGCCCGCAATGAGCATGGCAACCAGGGCATAGTACCAGGAGGAGACAAACATAAGGGCCAGGCAGAGGCTCATGCCCAGGAAGGACAGCGCCCTGGGCCAGAGAGTGGGGAAGGGCCAGAATCAGGGAAAGACCAGTATGGCCCCAGATCAAGCTTCCCAGCCCCCAATTTCTCACCAATAGCAACTACAGACCAGAAGATTCGAACCCCATTCTGAATGGGTCTCCTGGCTTCCCCATAGCTCTTATGTCAGAGGACTTGGTTCAGGGGTCCAGTTGGTGCTCACCAGTGATAGTACTTGAACCGGGGCCGCCAGTTGGGGGTCCTCAGGAGCGTCTGCACAGCACAAGCCAGGTTCACAAACAGGTAACACATCAGAAAGAACCTGCATCACAGGGGCTGGTTGGTATAGAGCAGCCTCCTTGGCAGCCAGGTACCTGTTGTCCCTGCCATACACGGGCTGAGCTAGGTCTTCATAGCCCCACAGCATGCATTCCCATGCCTGAGGCAGATGGGACTACTGCACAGATATCCTTAGGGCTTAGAGGATGGGCAACTGTTTGCAGGCAGAGGAGGTGAGAAGGGGGCAGCAGGCAAGGGGAAGAATGAATGTACAGCTGTGAAAAAGGATAGTGCAAAGGAATGCCCAATGTTTGGAGATGGCTAGACAATATTCAGGCTCCTGGCCAGGGTGACCAGTTGGATTAGGGGCTGTCATGAATGTGGGGAGGAGAAAGTAGGGAAAAGATAACAAAGGCCATTTTGAAGACACTGAATTAGAGACACTTGAGGGATATCGTGTGACTGGAACATGGTGAGGCCTGCTGTGTGAACCCTCTAGGAAGACGGCTGAGGAGCAGAGGGCTGAGGGGAGGGGTGCCAACCTCTACCCTCAGCTGGCTGGAGAAGAGCAGACAAAAAGGCAGAAGGACTTACCAGAGAGGGCATGTCAGGGGGCAGGGACTCCCATGAGGGTAAGTGGTCAGTCCCATTAAGGCTGCCAGGGAGAGCCACATGATAAAGGCTGAGATAAATCCTCTGGCTTAGGTACTGAGGGGTCACCACCCAGGATGACTATTGCAAGAACAGATTCAGGTGTGTACTATGTGTGGGTGGAGCTGGGAAGTAGGGGGTGGAGGTGTGTTGGGGGGGACAAGAGATCACTGTGGCCTGACTGGCAGTGAAGGGTAGTCCTATCATAAACCAACAAGCAAGAGGGAGCATTGGCAGTGGAGCAAAATGTGTGAGGAGAGATGGAGTGGGCCCCAACAATGGCAGTAGTGAACACAGCAACCACATGAGTTCTGCCTCAGGGACCCCTGGAATTTGCCATACGCTGACCACCTCCTGTAGGGCACTGGCAGACTCAAATGCCCAGTTGTTTCTAGAACCTTAAAAGGAAACAACTTTGAAAACAGACAGATGGGGCAGTGGAAGCTTCATCAAAGTGCTAGGCACTGGGTGCTTGCCCTGTCCAGGAGTAGAGGTAGCCACCTGCCTGCTCTGGGAGTCTCCCACAGAAGACCCGTTGGTCTCTTCTGTGTAAGTGTCAAGCTTGCTCCTGAATGTAGAGGTAGGCTGAGCTCTCCCAGGCAAATATCTGCCCATACAGCCTGACATGTGTCCCAGCTGTACCCTCAATACCAGACAGGGTCACAGGGAAGTGCTGGGACCCCTGGCTCTGGCATGCTGATGATTCCAAGAGCCTTTCCCAAGACCATTCCCCTGCCCTGCCCCAGCCCCCAGCTCACATGGATAGAATGGGGGCCACCATGT